GGGGGGGGCGGTGGAGGGCCTCCTGCAATGAATGGTGTGAGGGGGACAGGGGTGAGGGAGGTGGCGGCGGCGGAGGAGGGGTCGGGGAAGGAGGTGGGGAGGGCGGCTGGGGGAGGGCGGCTGAGGGAGTGCGGGGTCGGGTGCGGGGGCGGGGAGGGGGAGAGAGTGGTGGGGGAGAGTGGGGGGCGGCGAGGACGCCCGGGCGGAGATGGAGAGGCGGGGAGGGCGGCGGAGCATGCCCCCGTGAGAGAGGCCAGACGGTGTGGGAGAGAGCGGAGAGTCGCACACCTTTGTGTCCGTCACTTCGGCCTCGATCTTGGAGTGGGCCGTGGCGGTCGTGCAGTCCGCCTCGTCCGTCGTGGAAACGCCCCCTCTACTCGGAGCTAGTGATACGAGAATACGTACCGCCCCCACGCAGGGCCGTACTATTTCTTTCAACAGCCCTGGCCGGCCTTTTCAGGCCTTCCGCGGTCCCAGTCACTCGTCAAGTCACGGTAGCGCGCCTTTTGCCCCACACGATGGCATCCACAGCCGACGCCGAGGCGTGGGAGACGGACGAGCGCGGCTACGTCTTTGAGGAGCGGCTCGCGACCGCGGCGGAGCACAAGGACCGCGGCAACGAGCACTTCAAGGCTGGCGAGTGGCAGATCGCGCTGCGCCGGTACGAGCGCGCGCTCTACCACTGCGCCTTCGACCCGATGCAGATGTACGACCTGATGGAGAAGCACAAGGCAGCCGCGTACGCCGTGCAGACGCCCGTCAAGCTCAACTACGTCGCGTGCGTGCTGCAAATGCGCGAGGCGGGGCTGGACGTCGCGCCGGTGCAGGTGGAGGGCGAAGAGGAGCCGCGCGATCCGCTGGACCGGTGCGAGGAGCTGATTGGCGAGGTGCTCAAGGCCGAGCCGAACCACGCCAAGGCGCACTTCCGGCGCGCGCAGCTGCTCCGCGCGCGGGGCGACACACGTGCCGCGCAGGAGGCGCTCGAGGAGGCGGAGCGGGCGGGAGGCGGCAGCGCGAGCGTGCGCGCCGA